TCTTGCTGGGGAATCCCTTCCAAGTCAGGTCAGGAAGTGCTGGAAGCCGCATGAGCCGACCGTCAAGTATGCGGTGAAGGCCGAGCATGGACCTGATCTACTTACGTTTGATCACATGTGATCCCTGTGGCCTCGAATCCATAGAAGCCGCGCGATTTGCGTGCCTCAAGCCCATCAGCTCAAGGATCCGGATCGGCTCCTTGACCCTGGTTGTTTTGCACAGCACCTGTCAAGTAGCAACCGTCTGCGCTCGGAACCCCATAAGAACTGCTGGGCATGAAGGCAGAAACACAAGTTAAAAAGGACATCTGGAAGCCGACATCCACCCTTGCACTCTTCTGTCAGTGACAGTTGGCAGGCCATCGACACCAAGAGCGAGGCCAGCACCAGCCAACAAAGGTTTCAGATGGCGGATAGACACGGCCGGGCAGTTGTGTGTGTTTGGTTTAGTCGCCGCCAGGGCTTCATGGATTTGTTGAGGTGCGAACCGTAGCTCTTGTCATACCCGATCCTGACCTTCGCTTCCTACATGTCAATCTATAACTTAAGCTATCTGTCTCGATCATGTCAGTGACAAATAGTATAGGGGCCTTATTACTTGCCTATACTATTTTGGGGGTTCCTTATTATCCTGACAGTCTGGTAAAATGGGCCCCAAAACCCTGTTCTGGTTATTAAGGCCCCTACATTACCCGAAGATGACAGGTCTTCGAAGTTGCCGGCGCCTGGCTGTCTGCTCGGAAGGAGGTGCTGGCCCCAGATAAGTCTCAAACTTTGAGCACCCGCAGAGCCATCGATGCAACTTGTCTCAACGGACTCCTCAGTCCGTGCACGGTACTGAACCGACACATGTCAATGCCTTGATTATTTCAAGCATCATGGCTGGCATCCACGATCCGAAAGCTAATCCGCGACAGAACCTTGGGTGCTAGGCTGCCCGAGATGTCATCTGCTTCTGAGGCTAGTGTGCTTCAGGCCCGCACCGGCTGAGGGTGCACCTCGGGCCAGTCGCTTGCGTGTCATGAGTTTAAGCTGGTAGTTCCTTTTTGGGATTGCCTTATATGAACCCCAAAAAGGAACTACTTTGGGGCCTTAGGGTATGATACATGTACAAGAATTACGGAATATTCAATCAATTGAGCAGTCGTTGTGTCCACGTGAGAAGACTGCTTGCCAGTCCGTGTCGCATCCCCATATCGTCAAGCTGATAGAAGTCTTCGAGAAGGACCGCCGGCCAGCGAGCTCACTCGGTGTGTGCAGCTGTGCCTCCTTCAGCCACTGCGACATCCACAGTGCAGATGAAACCGTGCTGACTGTCTATATGATACCTGCTGGCTGTCCCTTCCAAGAGAATGCTTTGCATTCACGAGGAGCGATGGCTTTTCCTCGTAATGGACTACATCATTGGTGGCCAGCTTTTCCAGGCTGGCAATCATTGGAAACATCGAGGGTTCGCCTTAAGCAGCCTGCTAAAATGTGACCAGGAGACGTCCTTGTGATCCTGCCTGGCAGTACTATAATGCGGGGCAGGTGTGCACACGTAGACCTTGGCCGCGAACCGCGTTCAGATGTGCACGTCGTTCTTTGCATTCAGTAGCTTGAATCTGAAGGCGTTGAACCAATGATCACTCTGGCCAGGCCCTTGCAAATCCACGAACGGCCGGTGTCTCGTGCTCGCTGCACATCACGGCCCGTCTCTCTGTCTCTCTCTCTCTCTCTCTCTCTCTCTCTCTCTTCCAATCTCTCCCCCTCTGTCTTTCGTGCGCTCCACAAAGATATCTTTTCCAGCTCTCTCTCAATCTCTCTCTCAGTGCATATTTCTGAGACACGTCTTACCTTCGACGGGTTTGTTGATTCAATGATGCTTGAGCCGAGCCAAGAGATACTGGACAGGACCCACGGTCACTGCCAAAAGACTTGGTCCCGCCTCACCTTAAGAGCCCAAAGACTCATTGCTCATAAGTCATAAGTTGACATGGGATCGCGTTGGCGTTCGTGGATTCGGGAAGCTAATGCAAATAGTGGCCGCTCGTCACGCAGACCCGAAGAACGACCCCGAACAAATTGTTGAACGCGAGTTTGCTCCTTCTCCTGGCGTAATGTCTCGAGTCGTGTCACCAAGACTCGGCACCCAGATCCCCAAACCCCAGGTTACCCCAAACCCCAGGTTTCCCTAAACCCTAAACGTGGTGCCTGAACGATGCTGCAGTACCTGTGTGATGCTGGCTCCAGCTAGACGTGGAAGGGTTGACTTTAGCCAGGGAGTACTAGTGGGAGCATTTGTGGTGGGGTGGTGAATCCCCTCGCGAGCTGGTCGGCACACATGCCTCGGCCTAACAGGCATTCTAAGCCAACCTTGAGGCGGTGAGGAAAAGGGGCGTCAACAAAAAAAAAAAAAAGCTCGAGTCCCCTATATCCCGACATATCTTGATGCTTCCCCAGGCCATCACCGAAGGCTGCGTGGCCCTGGTGGGAAGCCAACTCCTTCAGGCTCCGATAAGACATGTCATGTAATGTAGGGGTCTAAATAGTTTCCAATATTATTCCCAGGGTTCCTTATCGTAGTTCTAGTATAATACGCCCCAAAACCCTATTCTAATGACCAAGGCCCCTATGGTACGCTGGATCTACCGATGCTGAGGGGACTCTCACCGTGAGGATTCGGCTTGAGAAACAGGGCTGCCGATGTAGCGGTCGTGCTGAATTGCTTTGGCGGGTGACGGCGGTTGCAAACAGCAGTCACTTGTCTTGTTGACAGCGGATCATGCTGCACGCGATTTTGTGGTATTACGTACCTCTCTGCGTCCCAGGCGTCGGTACGCCACTGCAAGAAGGGTTCGCCTCAACTTTGATGTTGACTCATCCCCACTCCACAAGCCATGAGTTCAGCTCATGTTCTTGGACTCGGATCTCCGCTTGAAACTTTTGCAGGCTTTGCAGCACCTGCACCTACGGCGCATCATCCACCGGGACGTCAAGGTTGGCTTTGCAAATCTGAGCCCTCTGAACGTCCAAATCCGAAAGAGAACTCCCTCAGAGTATATGAGTCTATCGGGTGCGGGACAAAGCCATGCCCAGGCCTCCAAGCTTTACCGTTGTATGGGTTGGAGTTTACCTTTCCTGGCCTGGAGCCTTAGCGGACAAACGACGTTGGTTTGGGGTTCACATGGCATTCAGAAGGCGGAGAACATCCTCCTCTTGGAGGACCCAGCCAAGACGAGGCGGTGGCACATCAAGGTGGGGACGGAGCAGCCTGCGGCAGGTATCTGGGTGTCAGGATCATGCGGGCGGATTTCCAGTTTGCGATCTTGTGTATGTATGTCGTCCCTCGTCGATCCTGTGCACTCACATAGGCGGATTCCTGATGGCTTCCGTGCTCTGTCTTGCGCACTATAGACCCCTAATGTTAGCTTCCTCGTCAAAGGAGTCTCTGAGAGGGACCCCAATGCAGGAACCTGATTAAGAAACCTTGGGCCTTCATGAGGGTTGCTTATATGAGCCCTACTATTTTGGGGTTATAGGCCCAGGGTTTCTTACTCAGATTCCTACATTATGGGAGTTTCCTAAGGGTGCCTTATTGGGAATGTACCCCTAAGGCTTCCTTAAAGGGCTCCTTAAAGGGGTCTATGGGTTCCTACATGACTCAGGCAGCCCTTGCTGTTCCCAAAGGGTCCTATGTACTGTTATGGGGAATACTTCCCCACATCATAATAGTAATTCCTAATATAGAAACCTTACATTCTACTATATCCCCCCTAAACCCCTAAACCCTAAACCGGACCCTTTGGGGTTTGTTCGAGCGGCCCGGGCAGCTCATCGACTTCGGCCTCGCGCAGCGCATGGAGCATTCCTCCAGCTTCATGCGCCGGACTCAAAGCAGACCAGAGGGCTCCGGGTAATGTATATATATATATATATATATATATACAGTATACATATATATATATATATATATATAGATAGATAGATAGATAGATAGTATATATATATATATATATATATTTATTTATTTATACACATACAGATATAGGGTTTAGGGTTGAGGGCTCCGGTTAATATAGAAGCCGGAACAATTAGCAAGACTATTATTCTTCCGGGGTACCGAAGGCCGCTTTTGTTGCAACCGACTCCATGACGCAGATGAGCGGTGAAACAGCAGCTGTACATATATATATATATATATGCATACACAGACATGTATTTATTATGTTTTATTGTATTGTACGCTATTACATATGCAAGCCTGATCCCACCCCATATTAGGCCTTATGCGTGAATCCGACACCCTCAAGCCCCAGCCCTGAGGTTCCGGATGTGTCAGCAGGAGGCTGCAGCCCGATCTTTGGGGAGGGAAGGATGGCAGTCTACAGGGAGGAGGAGAGGCAGCTTCAATTTCTTTGTGTATTGAGGTTTCATTGCGTATGGATGGAGATCCCAAGGGAAGTTGCGAGTAAGCGCATGATGGGTTTTGATAATCTGTCACTCTGCCAGCCTCCGCTGGAGCACCTCGTCTGCGGGACGGCTTACTACTGCGCGCCGGAGGCGGATGTCTTTAGAGCATTAGTCGTTGAAATTCGGAGGCCACCGCACGTCTGCATGACCCTGGATTGAATGAACGCACAGATTCGTGTGCTGAAACTGCCAGAGTTGTTTCCCCAAGTTTTCTTCTGGCACCTCTCTGCTGAACTGCTAAACTTAAACTACACTACCGCAACAATCCTAGCGTGATCCCTTACGATGGCCACCTTGCAAATTCAGAGTCATGTGAGCATCAGGCTCCGCATCCTGTCATGGTCTTCATCTTCAGCTGAAGAGTCATGTGTTCATACGACTAGCAATACTACGGTTCTTCCTGCGCTTGCTTCTTTCATTCGATGCAGCTGGTTCAAGATCGGCAGGTGTTGCAGTCACTGATCTCGTGTCAGCACCACAAGATGGCATCTCCGTATTCGTGGTGGTCTGGGAACCCAAGCAGCATCATCAAAGAAGCAACTGAGCTGATGGATCAAGGATGCTACAAAGAGGCATATTCACGGATGCAGGAATTCGTCATGAGCACGGACTTGGGAAACGTCTTGGCTCGCATGGCAGAATGTGCTTTCAAGCTGGAAAGATTCGATGATGTGCCGGTTCTGGCCACTGCCAGCAAGGTCTGGTCGACTGCCAATTCTGTCGTCCACTACCATGGGTTGTCTTTACTCCGTTCCGGTCGGAGTGGAGATGCATATTTGCTTCTAAGAGAGGCGAAGAGTTCGAACCCTGAGGACACTAGGATCTCCGATGCTTTGTGTCAAGCCTGCAGCGAAATTGGCGCCCACACCCCGTATCGCGAGCGTTGCATTTGGCAGTACCAGAACGGTTATGAGGAATGGACGGACATGGGTGGAGAGTTAGGGGTGAGTCTAGAAGCTGCATACTTGTCGCGCCCACAGACTTTAAGAGTTGTGGACGGAGATCGATCGTTCGATCTTGGCACATGCCAGGAATGCAACTTGAAAACTGGTAGGAAGAGAAACCTCCGTCGCGTCAACTGGACCAAATCCGGTCAACACCTTTTCATCGCAAAGCTGCTCCGCGAGATGTTTGTCGAGTGCAAGGAGGCCACGGCGAAGGCACCTAGTGTTTAGATCCCGGTGTACTTACTGCATCTCCGCATAAACTTTTTCTGTGCTTGGTGGGGACTCTAACTGTGGCTTCATGCTCCCCTGAGTCCAGAGTAGAGAACATGTATATGTGCTCAGGCGCTTGCGGAGAAGACGCGCCAAGACGATCTGGCTCGGCTACAACGTGAGATCTTGTGTGTGGGAGAGCAATCTACCACTGAATCACGGCAAGCTCTGCTTGAGAAACAGCAAGCCCATATAGATGCCAACTTGTGTGCGTCCGAAAACATGCGAAGGAGGCAGATGGAAGCGAATGTAGAAGTCGAGGTGCTCAAGGCACGCCTCGAAGCCAAGACGGAAGAAGCTGAGCTGCGCCTGGCAGAGTTGGAAGCCAAACAACGACAGCAGGAGGAGGAGATGAAGCGCAGAGACAATTCATTGCAGGATAAAGAGCAGGACTTGCGCAGAAGAGAGCAAACTAGTACCGAGTCACAAGCTCGAATCACAACTCGGCTTGCGAAACAGCAAGCCGACATAGATTCCAAGTTGTGCGAGATCGAGAACATGCGGAAGAAGCATCTGGAAGTGGCAGAAGCACTTGAGGTGCGCAAGGCAAAGCTGCGCATGACAGAGCTGGAGGCCAGCTTTGCCCGCAAACTTCGGATTCCTATCCACATCGAGAACCCGCGCTCGCAAGTGATTTTCGGGATGAGGGAAGAGCTTGAGTTCTGGCGGCAGGGATGGATCAGATCGCAGCACCTGATGTCCCGTTACGGATGCGACAATGCGCACTTCTTGGAAGACCCGACATTGGTTGCTCCATTGCAGCGTCTGTTGCGTGCAACTTCAGAACCCCACGATAGAGAAGCGTGTAGGCGGTGTCGACCGATGTCCCGCGCGACTGTCCAGCGGGTGCTGCGTGTAGTAAACCCATACCTTTGGAAGGGCTATGCCGAACGAGTTGAGCAGCTATCAGCGTGCAGCTCGAAGCCAATTTGGTGCTCAGCTGCTATGGAGTTGTTGAGAAAGGAGTCTTTTGCATTTGGATCGGCAGCCCCGTATGTTGGTGCGACATATTGGATCCAGCTCGACGAAACAGCCAATGAAATGCTTCTGTTTCACGGAACACATCCTGGCAACGCAGAAAGCATTGCCTCAACTGGCTTTGACAGCAGTCGCGCATTGCATGGCCTCTATGGGAAAGGCTTTTACTTCGCATGTGAAGCTTGCAAATCTTATCAATATTCCGGCAGAGGCGGCTGGCATTGCATTGTGGTCACCCGCGTGGCGCTGGGCAGAGCAAAGTACACAAAGACACCTCTGTGGGGAGATGCTACTCAAGCATTGGGTGGCGATGCAGACTCCATTGTGGCCCTGCCTGGATCACAAGGAGGTCCACCCGGACAGAATCATCATGAGTTCGTTGTGTTCGACAAATTCCAGGCATTTCCAGAGTTCATTGTCTTTTTCGATGTGCAAGTTGGCTCGGCAGAGTCTTGACGTTGAGCTTGCGCCTTTGCGTGGAGCCGCCCACGGGCAGCGCAGTTGTGGTTTCAGATTGAAGGGGGAAGAAGTTGCCTGCCCATGCTTCGGAAATCGAAGCTCCTGAACTCTCAGAACATGCCCTGAAGCGACTGAGTTGCAGACTGCCTGCATTACGCAACCAACAGTTGTCTCCGCTGGAGGTCTGGTTCCACGACTATTCCCCCAGCGTTGATGTCTGGGCTGCGGGAGTCAATGGCTCAGGGGGTTGAGAGACGAAACCGATTGCCTGAGCAGGCATTGGATTGTCGTTTCGTTTGTTGTTTCGGGACAGTGGGTCTAACGCGCAGGGTTGCAATGCAGTGCCCTGCATGCACTTCGTGTTGAACTGCACACCATCAGAAGGCACGAGAAGCGAAAGGCAGAATTGAGAATCCGAGTGAACACGTTTCGACATACTTTGGTCATTTTGGTCTAGTGTCAGTAGCATAGGGACTACGTGCCCGAAAAGTCCCGCTACACTTACTACTATATTGGGCATGATTCGTTGGCTTATGCATGTATATATAGTGTATCTGATGTGTAAATACCTATGTGTCCCTGTTTCTTTCTATCTATCCACCTACCCGAAATACGTAGTACCTACCATGCTTGCAGGAAGAACCCTAAACTCTAAACCCTGAGCCCCAAACCCTAAACCCTCAACCCCAAAACCTAAACTCACGCCCACCTCCCAATACGCCTGCCCACCTTTCCACAGCCATGGGCGCGGTAGCACCCACGTCAGGCCCGGTACCGCCCCCCCCACATCCTCCCCTCTCTGCGGCCTGCAAGGTGCCCTCACAAATTCCCTCCCCAGGTCCCCTCACCCCGTGAGGGAGCAGGTTCTCCTCGACACCAGTTCTGGTACTTGTTAAACCCCAAGCCCTTCACCCCGGAGGTGGTTGGCCATTGGGGCCCCCTCCAAAAAGGGACCCTCCCAGAAAGGCCCGGGCCTTTAGCGAGCAGAGTCAAGCACCTCGGGTTTTTGGCCGTCTTGGACGGTCTGGGGTGAGAATTAAAAGAAAAGAGCCAACCACAATCAGGCTCCAACGACCTGTCGTCATTTCACAACGCATTCGACATGAGGCTCCACTCTACGGCAAACCCTAAAACCTAAGCCCCAAGCCATCCCAAACCTATAAACCCTAAGGTTGTGCTGTACCTGGCCATGTTTGGCCAATTTCCCTTCCACGATCGGAACCCGGCGACTCTGGAGGCTCTGCTCCACAGAGATGTGACACAGATAGGGGCCTTCGTAAATTAGAACAGGGTTCCCCTTAAAGGGCTCTATATAAGGGATCCACAAGGGTACTATAATATAGGGGCCTTATTACAGAGTCGCCCGAAATATGGCAACTCGTGTTCACGGTTCGCGAGGTGGAGCATTGACGGGCGGTGCTGTCTGGTTTTGCCCACATAAACCCCAAAAGCCTGAGCGTGCCTGTTGTGTGGCGGGCCTTAACCTGCCCCCATCAGCACTGCAGAAACAAAAAGACTGTAAAATCAGCGGGTGGGTCAGTGCTACATGTCTGTCCGTGGATGTCCTTGTGGCAGGTCTTAATCTGCGAGGAGAATCGAGAGCCCAGCTACAGGCGCCGGGGCTGGAGATCAAGTTCATCATGAGCATCAGCGATGCGGCATTGCGGCGACGACGACGGCTGCTGCTCCTGCTATTGCCGCCGCTGCTACTGCTACTGTTACTACTATCACAACTACCACCACCACGACGACTACTACTACCACCACTACTACTACTACTACTACTACTACTACTACTACTACTGCTACTGCTACTGCTACTGCTACTGCTACTGCTACTGCTACTACTACTACTACTACTACTACTACTGCTACTACTACTGCTACTACTACTGCTACTACTACTACTACTGCTGCTGTTGCTACCGATTTCGCCAGTGCAACTAATGCGAGCCAACATCCTGCTCGTCACAATTTCGCCCTGCCCACCATCAATGACAAGCACGGTAGACTCGCATAGCAAACGATCGCCAGTTTTTACAATGAAGATGTTATACTTCAGTACTGGGCTGCTGTGCTTGGAGGTCCGGTGTCTGAAGAAATCTTGATGCCGTTAGCCAGCGTGCACCACGTATCTTCCTGGGACACTGGCTTCCAGTCAGCTTGTATGCTGGCCAGACCTCACCGTAAGCGAGTAGTGTAGACTAGTCGTGCGACTTTTCCAAATTGTTTGACCCACTACAGCCAAAATGTCGCAAACCCTAAACCCTAAGCCCTAGACCCTAAACCCGAAGCGAGCTGCTGCTTGCCAAAATGCCCCAGGCCGATCTGCTCGCAGGACCACCCCAGTTACCAGGCCCTGGCGATTGCGAGTATTACTTGTGTGGTCTGTTAACATAATAGTAGAGTGTACGATCGTATAGTATAGTATCGTAGTATAACATACTATCATAATTTAAGGTATTATACTACACACACACACACACACTATATGTACTTTGATTCATATCTGCCTTTGCGACCTTGCGATGCTTGATCCAGGGCTTCGGCTAAGGCAAGAGGCTGCCAGGTTCTGCTTTGGGTCGGAAGTGCAGAGTGCGGGCATGACATCGGAGAGGTGAGGTTGACCGAGTCGTGTGCATGAGACTGCTGGCTGGCATTGCATGGAGACATGACGTACACAGAACTGCACTGTACCCAGAGGCTTGCATCTGTGAGCCGTATCCTGTGGTCTGAGCTCTGTGTCAAACTAAAGGTCGAGGGGCCGTTTTTCTCAATCTATACGTACCCCAACGCTTGCGCAATGTAGTCATCTGATACGCCAACCTGAAGCGATTCTTCGTTGCTGCGTCGCTTGGCTTCGAGGCCTCCGCGGTGGCCACTGCTGCTCTGAAGCAGCTGCTTACCAAGGCATTGCTGGACTTCGTCGGCGGGTTTCTGTTCGAAAGTTGAACTGACGGCCTCCCGCAATCTTGCGGCCATGCAGCAAGACCATGAGACCGTCACGCGTTTGGTGTTGCTACTTCCCGGTCGGAACATGCTGCGCCTGCAACCCTCATCTTTTCGGAGTCGCCGCTCCAGTGGCCCCGGCAAAACCAAGCTTCGTACACCGAAACTAATAGCCCTGGCCCCTGAAATTGATGCCTGGACAACGGAAATTTGCAAGGCCCGGGAGGATAGGCCAGACGCCTGTGGAGCGATGCACCTCGAGTGGTTCAAGACGGCCTACGACAGGAGCCGTGAGGTCGTAGAGGTCCCCTCAATCTTCAGAAGGGGCTGGCGCAGATATCCACCCCTGGTGCCTCCGCCTATTTCCCTGTGAAGAATATAACCTGAATAATTACCTACACTATTTTGGGGGTTCCTTTATAGTATGATATGCCCCAAAACCCTGTTCGAATGATTAAGGCTCCGACAGTACATACTTTGTCCATCATCAAAGGGAGCACCTCAAAGGGCCTTCGCGTCCAGTCCAGGCGTTTCCGTCCACGGTTGTGATTGCTGCTTTTCAGCAATACATGATGCAGGATGCTTGTCAGTCTGCTGAGCATCGTCCAATCCCAAGTCCTCCGAAGCAAAGGCTCCGTAGATTTAGGGCGCACACGCACACATCCTTGAATCCGTAGCAGCAGGCGTTTGCCCGACAGCTGTGCGTTTCTCGCAGGACAAATCCTATGAAGCTCGCATCCCGAGACCCTCCTGCCTGTAGTAACTGGTCAAGATGGCACAGTCAGGACAGTGTGTAGCCCTCAAACTTAATACATGAACTACATAGACATCACAGAGATGTCGAAGTGACATCGCTCATGTCCAAGCGCCTCTAAAGCAGGAGCTTGGATTGTGGACGGCTGAGATCCGGGCTGCCATCGGACATGCGATCTTTGGTACAGCCCTGGCATTCGGTTCTCACTTCTTCGACTGCTGGGCTGTTAGGCCCATGTCACCAGTGCGGAGCTTCAAGTGACGTCTTAGTCGCTTGTAGTAAAGTTCAGCTAGCTTCACCGAACTCCAACACCCAGACTGGGAAGAATTCGGGAACGCCGTCATCCTCCCGAGGGTGGCACGGACGCGACGGTACCACTACCGTCTCGGGAGTGTGCCTGCTGGGTGCCTGGGACCAGGCTCCTTAGTGCACTGTGCCGCTACAGTTCAGCGATTCTTGCTGTGTGGGAATCGGTGCGCTGCATCAGTGATATGACATCATACTCTGTTAGGCACCATCGGGTAACAAAAGGTCGGAGGCTACAACAACACAGGTCCGATTATCAAAAAGATAACTTCCGCCATGGCATGTGCACAGATATATTATGTCTTGGGGTTTGGGGTTCTAGACATTTCAGGTGCTGAGGCTGCGTTTTCGGAGTAGACTTGGTTTATGCGTACACATGCATCTCTGAAATGAGTCCCAGGCTTCAAGCACTTTTGAGAGTTTGAAGGTCAATCTTGTAAGGGTTTGGTGAATTCACACGCGGTTACCACGGCCCCAGTGGACTGGTGGTTCGTGTGACAAGTGGTGTTGTCATGTTGAATCTGTGGGATTTACGAGAACGGAGCTCTTAGTTCGAGAGCATTGTTTACAAATGCTCAACCGCATACAAGGTCTAGACGCAGTTTAGACAGATTCATCTGAAGGAGTGCCGATGCCCTTTTGCGGTCTTTCGAACTCGCTGGTCTGGAGCCCGAAGACAGAAGTAGGTAGCACCACGTCAAGACCAATTGCAACCATGCTGAGGCAGCGTAGGAGATGGAAAAGACTGCCCCTTCGCCACACACACCAAGCTCTTATGTACAAGGAATCGCCCGGAGTTTGAAGCTTTCCTATATACCAGGAGAGGAATGTCCGACTCAAATGCCAGGTGATCCCTCCAACGCTTCGTGCCAAGGCGTCCTGGTGCAGATCTATTCGCAGCAAATTGGTGAGTATGCATGTAAAAGCCGTCATCGTGCACTCGGTCCTATTGGAGGATGTTGGCATAAACCGCTGCTTTCTGAAAGAA